GTCCAACATTTGATTGTTTTTCCTCTGTCATCACCCTACAGTGCAGTTCTGCTCGTCCTGCTATAGGAACGGTATTATTAAATTGGAGAATGTGCAGAAAAGATTTACAAGAATGTTCCTGGGACTGGAGGGTTTGAGTTATGAGGAGAGGCTGGATATGCTGGGACTCTTTTCCATCGAAGCATAGGAGGTTGAGGGGGGACCTAATAGAGGTTTATGCAATTATAAGGTGCAGAGATAAGGTGAACTACGAAGTTCTTTCACCTGAGTTTGGGGTGTTCAAAACAACAGGGCATAATCTTTCGATAAGAGGAAAAAGATTTGAAAGAGACCCGAGGGGCAACTTTTTCCACACAGAGGGTGGTGCTTACGTGGAATGAGTTGCCAGAGGAACTGATAGACACAGGTGCAATTAAACATTAAAAAAATCATTTGGACAGATGCATAAATAGGAAAGGTTTAGAGGCTATGTTCCAAATGGGACTAGTTTAGTTTGGGAAACTTGATAGGCATGTACAAATTGGATTGAAGGGTCTGTTTACGTGCCATACAACTCTATGCCTCTATAAGTGAGGCAGATGGATGTTTTTACAACAACTCATAACTGTTACTGAGCCTAGTTTTGAATTCCTCATCTATTGAATGAATTCAGATCACTCCAGTAGCAGTGGTGGAATTTGAACCCATATCCCCTGAGCATTAGCCTGGGCCTCTGGCTTACTAGTCTAGTGACATTACCACTGTACTACCATCTTCCCACTTCTTCACTGTGTAGAGTAAAACTGTCCTTTATTAAATGGCAAAACAAGCTTGAAGGATTGACCTACCTATTGTTAATACATCTTTGTATGTTTGCAGGTAAGTAGGGTCTTCACCAAATAGAAAAATTAGTTTTGGTCTAAAATAGATTTGGTACTTTTTAAAGCATACAGATTGTAAAAATGGAAGTCACTGCACACCACCACAAATTGGAAGTGCTAATGGGTTAATGTGGAATATGTAGAGATTCATTGCTCCCCATACTCATTAGTTTAGCCAAGAAATGACAATAACTGTGAACTGATTCTATCATTCACACCAAGAGGATGCCTGAGTGGTTGAGAAATCAGCTCCTTAATGGTTTCTTCCATGCAGCAATGGAACCAAAGGTTCTTGAAAATTGAGAAGCTGTAATGACAATGAAGTCAGGCAAATGTTTTAACCTCTATAGAGGCTCTAATACTGTGCTGGAGGTTCACAATTTGGAATATCTCAATAAGCATTTCATAGCATGATACAGCACAGCAGGAGGGCATTCAGTCCATCGTCCCTGTACTAGTTTTTTTGAAATAATCACCCAAACACAAAATTAGGTGACATTGTTGACAGTGTCGCATAAAATTACAAATGGGTATTGATATACTAAGTGAATAGAAAAGACTATGACAGATGGAGTTCATCAAGAACAAGTATGAAGTTATCCATTTTGGCCTGAAAAGGCATAGATCAGGATACTTTCAAGATCATATGAGGTTAAATAAAGTGGAGTTCCAATGAGACTGGGGTGTTCAGGTGCTTAGATCTTTAAAATGTCACAAACAGGTGCAGAAAATAATCAGGAAGCGTAATGGATTGCTGACCTTTCTATCTAAGGGACTGGAGTATCAGGAAACAGAAGTCGTGCTGCAGTTACACTAAACCCTAGTATACCCCACTTGGAGTACTGTAAGCAGATCTGGGCATCTCACCTTAGGAAGGATATATTGGCCTCGGAGGCAATACAGCATATGTTTTCAAGAATGGTACCTGTACTCTCAAGAATTTAGGATGTTAAGGGGTAATCTGATCAAAGTCTTCAAGATATTAACAGGAAAAGACAGGGTCGATAAAGATAAACTATTTCCACTGGTTAGGAATTCTAGAATTCAATGGCATAGTCTGAGTTTTAGGGCCAGACTGTTCAGGAGAGATGTTACGAACCACTTCTACCACAAAGAGTGGTAGATGTTTGGAACTGCATTCCACAAACGGCAGTGGATACCAGATCTGTTGTTAGTTTTTAATCTGAGATAGATACATTTTTGTTAAGCAAAGACATTAACAGATAAGTGGCCAAATGTAGGTATATGGAGTTAGGCTACTGTCCAACTATGATCTCATTGAACAACAGGCTCAAAGGGCTGAATGGCCTACTGTGTTCCTATGCTTTGTTGTACCCATCTTCCTGTGAACTCAATATCCTGTCATTGCTTGCAGAATAGTTAAACAATGCCACCTGGACTGAATAAATATCTTTTTCTTAAACTGGGTCCATTTAATACACTGTGCTTTTTCAGGCTTTAAATAAACAAAACAGCAAGAACATGAATGGAACAACAACATTAAAGGTTAAATATCTGGAAACGAAAATGAGAGGCAAGCCTGATAGTTTTCAAACATTCTGATCCAGTAAGGTTATTTTTCGTGTGACACTGTCATGGAAACTGCTACATATCATTAATCTTACCAAAGAAAGCAGTGAAAAGTGTGACCTAATACTGTGCGCTCTTAAGAAGTGCTGAACAGGTTTGAATTTTCTGCACTGGTTGCCTGTCCATCTCATCAATGTGGTATTGTTCCTGTTATACCAGCGTCTCTTTCTGTAGAAATGAAACAGGATAATATCTAACTCTTTGTGGCCAATGAGGAGTGTGATACCATACCTAATTTGGATTTTAAAAATTACAAATTCACTTTTGGATGAAGACTGCATTAGGTTTTCAGAGAATTCAGATTTCAGAAGCCATCTCATGCCACCCTTTATGCCAAAAGGTACAAAAAAGAGTTTGGCTGATCAATGTATTGTTAATAGTTCTGAGAAGGTTTATGAGAGTAGTACATGGAATGAGCAGGTTGTTTTCTGAGGAAAGGTTGGACACACTGGGTCTGCCTCTGCTGGTGTTCAGAAGAGTAAGAAGTCACTTGCTTGAAACAGTTAAGATCCTGAGGGGTTTTGACAAGGTGGATGTGGACAGAATGATTCCTCTTGTGGGGAAATCTAGAACCAGGATCCATTGTTTGAAAGAAAGGGCCCTCACCCGTAAAATAGAGAGCAAATATTTTTCTCTCAGAAGGTTGAGACTTTCACGCTTCCTGAAAAAGTGGTAGAAGCAGAGTTTTTAAATATTTAAGGTGGTAGGGTGGCTCAGTGGTTAGCACTGCTGCCTCACAGCACCAGAGACTCAGGTTCAATTTCAGCCTCAGATGACTGTCTGTGTGGAGTTTATACATTGTCCCTGTTTCTGTGTGGGTTTCCACTGGGTGCTCCAGTTTCCTCTCACAGCCAGTAATGTGCAGGCCAGGTGGATTGGCCATGCTAAATTGCCCATAGTGTCCAGGGATGGGTAGGTTAGCCATGGTTCAGGGATTGAGTAGGGGTTGGGTCTGGATCTGGGTGGGAAGCTCTTTGAAGAGTTGGTGCAGACCTGGTGGGCTGAATGGCAGCTGACAGGTGCCAGCCTCTATGAACCCTCATGGCATATCTCCACAGGATGCTTCTCCACTTCAGTGCTGCACCTTGGGTTGTATCAGAAGCTATCATTGTAATGTTATCACATACTCTGTGCTGAAGAATATGGACCAAGCTGTATTTGTAGGCACTTCACTTAGTCCCACAGCGCACACTTACTCTGAGCCTACATGGATGGTTACAGCATCCCTGACTTGCATTGCCTTACCTGTTTTTTGCACTTTTCCCCCTCAACCAGAATTCCAGGCTAACATTACTGCTGCATTTCCTTGTTGTTTAACGTAGACGCAAAGCCAGGAAACTTGTTATAGTTATTAACAGGCATCAGTCAGCTCAAGGGAGATTGCCTTCACTTGAGGGAATCCCAGCAGTGTAAATCATGGGCAGCCTTCTATATCAGTCCAAGCCCTGATCAGGGGAGTCAGTTTCCACATAAGGAGTGAGGATTTGAATAATGGGCAGAACACCACATGTCTTGAGTCTTTCTGCCTAATGTTTTCCTCGTGGAATGAGAGAGAGGCGGGTATTCCAGGAGATGGAAGTGGGTGTGCAGATGGGGGTGTGACCCAACGAGTGAGTAGGTAGGGAAGAAGCTGAAGGGAGAAAATAAAATTTTAAAAAACCCTACATTTTGTAAGGCAGGCCTTTGTTAACCTCTGTAAATTGCTGTCCATCAAGTTCTGCTAAACGGACTCCTACACTGTCCAATATCTGTCCCATACATACAAAAAAAAATCAACCTATATATGCCTGTGATACATTCTTTAGACTTCATTCCTGCGTAATAAAAAGAAACCTTCAATCCTATCTCTTTCTCTTATCCTGCCTACAGGAATCTGTTTATACTGTCTGGTCTGCTGCCAAAGCTGATACAAGCCCTAGGATGTACAAGGTTCCTCGCTGTCCATTTCTGATGACATGGACCCTTAGGGCATTCAAGGTTCATGTCTGCTAAAATGTGCCTAAATATCTTGAAAGGTGTCATCTTAGCCCCGTTGCAGCCCCTTTTTATAAAATCTTATTCCAGACCTACTAAAGATATCATGCTTTTTTATTCTTGCTGTCAAAATGGGTAAATTCACGTTTTCCAGCATTACATTCGATTTGTCACATCTTTGCGTGCACATTTAAATTTGCCCATTCATTTAAACTATCAACAGAGGCAAAAACACTGCAGGTGCTGGAATCCAAGGTAGACAAAAATGCGGCTGGAAGAACACAGCAAGCCAGGCAGCATCTGGAGGAAAGGAGCAGTCAACATATCAGCTATTACCCTTCTTCAGGACTGGATGTGGGGGTAGGGGAAGCTGCAGATAAAGGTGGGGGAGGGGTGGAGGCAGAATGGAGGTGTCAGATGGACACTGGTAGTAGGTACGACCTGGTTGGGCGATGGGAGGGATGAATCTGGTTGGTGGCTGGAAGGGAGGAGGTGGGGCTGGAAGGGAAGCCGGGGGATGGGTGGGAAAGTTTCTTGAAATTGGAGAACTCAATGTTGAGTCCTCCAGGCTGTAGGGTGCCCAGGCGGAAGATAAGGTGTTGATCTTTAAATTTGCAATCCGAGTCTGTGTGACACTGCAGGAGGCCGAGGACAGACATGTTGGAGGAGGAGTGGGACGGGGAATTGAAATGGGTGGCATCTGAGAGGTTAGGTTGGCCTTTATGGGCCAGGGTGAAGATGCTTAGCGAAACAGTCACCGAGTCTACGTTTGGTCTCACCGACATAGAGAATACCACATCGGGAGCACCAGATGCAGTAGACTAGGTTGGAGGAGATGCAGATGAAGCTCTGTCTCACTTGGAAGGGCTGTTGAGGGCCTTGAATGGAGGTGGGGGAGGTGGTGCGTGGGCAGGTGTTGCATCTTTTACAGTTACAGGGGAAGTTACTGGGCGGGTTGGAGTGGTTGGTGGGGAATGTGGCGTGAACTAAAGAGTGGTGAAGGGAATGGTCCTTGCCGAAGGCAGAGAGGGGTGGGGAGTGGAAATGTTCTGGGTGGCGGGGTCTACTTGTAGTTGGCGGAAGTGTTTGAGAATGATATGTTGGATGCGGAGGCTTGGGGGGGTGGAATGTGAGGACAAAGGGGACACTATCTTTATTGTGTTTGGAGGGCAACGGTGGCTAAGAGCTGTGGGGTAGGGAATGGAGGAGGCGTGGTGGAGGGCTGTCTGGGTGACAGAGTGGGGGAAATGGCGTTGTTTGAATAAGGCGGACATCTGGGATGCTTGGGAGTGGAAAGTCTCCTCGTCAGAGATGGGCAAATTGGGAAAACGGGATAGAGCTTTTACAGGATTCAGGGTGGGAGGAGGTGTCGTTGAGGTAGCTATGGGAGTCTGTGGATTTATAGTAAATGTTGGTACATAAGCAGTTGCCAGAAATGGAAACGGAGAGGTGAAGAAATGGGAGGGAGGTGTCCGAGATAGACCAAGTGAAATTGAGGATGGGGTGGAAGTTGTTCGCAAAGTTGATGAACTGCTCTAGTTCAGCCTGGGTGCAGGATGCAGCACCAATGCAGTCATCAATGTAATGGCGGAAGAGTTGGGGAAAAGCACCAGTGTATGTACAGAAGAGGGACTGTTCGACATAACCAACAAACAGGCAGGCGTAGCTGGGGCCCATGTGAGTGTCCATGGCAAACCCCTGGATTTGGAGAATGTGGGAAGAATTGAAGGAAAAATTGTTGTGGGTGAGGACTAGTTTAACGAGGCAGAGGAGGGCATTGGTGGCGGGGGTTAGATGCTGGATGGGTCTGCTGGAGAGGGAAAAAACCAGGGGCCTGTAGGCTGTTCCTATGGGTTATGGACATGTATAAGGATTGAACATCCACAGTAAAGATGAAGCGTTGGGGGCCAGGGAACTGGAAGTTTCCAAAGAGGTGGAGGGTGTAAAGGGCCCTGGATGTAGGTGGGGAGTGCCTGGACCAAGGGGGAGAGGATGGAGTCCAGGTAGGAAGAGATGAGTTCGGTGGGTCAAGAGCATGAGGAGACGATGGGTTGGCCGGGGTAGTTGGGCTTGTGGATCTTGGGGAGTAGGTAGAACTGGGCAGTGTGGGGCTGGGGGACTATAGGCTGGAGGCAGCGGAAAGGACATCACCAGAAGCGATGAGGTCATGGACAGTGTGGGAGACAGTGGCTTGATGGGCCATGGTGGGGGGTTCATGGTCATGGGAGAGGTAGGACATGGTGTCGGAGAGTTGGCGTTCAGTCCCTGTGATATAGAGGTCTGTCCTCCAGTCTACCGCCGCCTGACCTTTGTCAGTGGGTTTGATAGTGAAACAGGGATTGGTGCGGAGAGAGTGGAGCACTGCACGTTCAGAGTGGGAGAGGTTGGAGTGGGTGAGGGGACTGGAGAAATCGAGGCAGTTGATGTTGCAGTTAGCAATGAAGAGGTCCAGGATGGGTCGGAGGCTGGCAGGGGGTGTCCAAGAGGAAGAGGAAGGTTGGAGGTGGGAGAAGGGGCCCGCGGAGGGTGGTTGGGAATCTTTATTGAAGAAGAAGGCATGGAGGAGGAGACAGTAGAAGAAGAATTCCATGTCATGGTGGGCATGGAACTCGAGGTGGGGGCAGAGGGGCACGGACATAAGCCCTTTACTGAGGACAGACCATTCGGCCTCAGAGAGTTCGAGGTCCACGAGAATGGTGAACATATGGCAAGGCTCATGGGTGGGGTTTTGGGGGGATGTCGAGAAGGCTGAAGGAAGGGAGGGGGGAAGGGTGATAGCATGTGATGGGTGGGGATTGGACGCACTATGCTGGGGGGAAAGTAGTTGAAGGACAGCAAGGAGGGTGGGAGGGTAGTGGGCTGGGGAGTAGGATGGAGGATTGGATGGGGCAGGGGTGTGGGAGAGATGACTATCAATAACTTTATGTAACTTACTTGTGTCCTCTTCACAACTGACTTCCCTATTTATCTTAGTGTTGTCAGCAAATTTGGCAACCATATTCATTTAAGTTATTTGTGAAAGTTGTAAAAACATTTAAACTGATCTCATGACACACTGCTCAGTATACCTTGCCAGTCTGAAAAAGTGTCATTTACACTTTCTGAAGAAGGGTCACCAGATCCAAAACATTATCTCTGATTTTCTCTTTACAGATGCTGCCAGACCTGCTGAGCTTTTCCAGCAACTTCTGGTTTTGTTTCTCATTTACACCTACCCTGTGCTTCCTGTAAGCAAGCCAATCTTCAATCAATGCCATTATGCTACACCCCAACACCATAACCTTTTACCTTCTGCAATAATCTTTCACAATTGGCACCTTATCAAATACCTTCTGAAAATCTAAGAGTCCATTCACTGGTTTTCCGTCATTTACAGCATGTGTTATTTCCTCAAAGAACTCCAATAGATCAGCCAAACGTGGGGGTTTCTCTTTTACGAAATCATGTTAAGTTAATTGGCTTGTATTTTCTTCCTTTCTGTCTCCCTTCCTTTTTGAATAAATAAATCACACAAGGTATCTTCTGATTTAATAGGACCATTCACAGATTAAGAGAATTTTGGATAATTAAAACTTAAGTTGGTTGTCAATTTACCTATGAGCATACCCCAGGATTATTCAGCAAACACTGTCCAAATGCAGAATCTAACAGCAGATGATTTGCATTAGATCTTGACGTTCTTTCGTTAGTCCTGTGGACAAAAATTTCAACAACATGTCGCCCTTTTGAACAATCCTCAACTTCTGTGTTACCAAGGACATACTAGTTGAATTAGTCTGAATTGCTTCATGAAATCACATTGATATATGTAAACAAAATACGAAAATTACATTGTTAGCACCATCCTTTTTCAAAATCGAATTCATGAAATCCAATCCTCTGCTCTGTCACTTTCCTAATATTTTGGTTTATGCCTCTTAAAAATGGCATTGCATTCTTGTCTGGAGAAAGGATTTGTAGCAATTAAAGGGTTAAACACTCAGAGAAAATACTGAATGGTTTTCTTTTAAAAAAAAAATGCATACTAGAGATAAATGCAATTATATCTACTCTGCAAATCACACATGGTACATATATTGGCTTTATGTCCGAACTGTGCAAAGATTATTACACAACTGTAAGTGAAATAATTTAGATAACTCCTGCTCTCTGAGGACTGAGTGAAGTTTGCTAATAGAGAATTCATTAAATTAATGTACTGATCTAAGCTCTTTCTGTTTCCAAAAGTAAACAGCCAGATGACTGGGAACGGTCAATTTTTGCTCGTCAGAAGGAGGGAGGCTACAAGCTGAAAGATAGCATCCTCTTCCATCTATACATAAGCACACCCCCATGTGGAGATGCACGTCTCAACTCTCACCGAGAAGCAAGGGCTGAACGTAAGTACATAAACATGGCTCATTGGTGCAGAAAATCCATGGTCATTGTGCATTTCAGAAACAAATACAAGGCTCTATTGGGCACTCAACAGTGGAAAGACTGGCATTTTACAATATTTCAAATGTAATGATACAAACTGCAAGCTGTTGGAACTAGAAGTCCGATTTTCAATTCTGTGCTTGAACTTGGTCATATGCGTAAAAACATTCCAATTTAATTTTTTTTTAAATCACCGCTCAAGGCTTTGCACATTCACTCTGCTTATGTGCTGAAAGATCTAGTAAGGAGAGAGGTATCTCACAATGTACCTCACAAGGAAAAGCTTTGGAAACATCTCAGAATCTGTCATTACCGACAGAAAGAAGAATAACAACATTGGCAACTTGCATTTGTACCTGAGGCAAACATATAGAACATTTCATTGTCTCATGCTAACCCAAATTAAGTCACAGATAATGGAGATAACAAGGTGTAAAGCTGGATGAACACGGCAGGCCAGGCAGCATCAGAGGAGCAGGAAAGCTGACGTTTCGGGTCTGGACTCTTTTACTGAAGAAGGGTCCAGACCTGAAACGTCAGCTTTCCTGCTCCTCTGATGCTGCCTGGCCTGCTGTGTTCAGCCAGCTCTACACCTTGTTATCTCAGACTCCAGCATCGGCAGTTCCCACTATCTCACAGATAATGGAAGTACTTTTGAATTACAGTCAAAGAGAAACACTTCCATTCATCTACTTTCATTCATAACATCAAGATGTTCCAAATCACTTTACAGTTAATTGAGTATTCTTGAAACGGAGTCATTGTTGTAAGGTAGAATACAATTCATGATTATACATTTGTACCTCAAAAAATCCCATAATGTTTTTGAATTGAATGGAACTGAATTAGCTTTATTGTCACACATACTTACATGAGTACAGTGAAAAGTTTACAAGTTGCCACTTATGGTGCCATCTTAGAAACACAGATATCTCAGTACAGATTCTTGAAGACAAATTCTGAGGAAAAAATAAAAAGTAAATAAAAAGTCCAGCATTACAGAAATTCAAAAATACAAAGTCATATTAATAAATTAGAAAAATAAAGAAATAAAAAGGTTCAGAATAACATTGATGCGATAATGACCAGATAATCTGTTCTTTTTTTTAAGTTGATTGAGAAATAAATATTGAACAGAATAACTTCATTACTCTGCTTTGTGAAAAAAAGAAAGACATATGTTGAGATAAATACGTTTCACAACCTCAAGATATTCCAGGGCACTTTAAAACCAATATAATGCTTCTGACGTGTAATAATGGTGTATTGTGGAGAATGATCAGTGCCTGATTGTACACCATTTTTGAATAAGCACGTTAAGTGAACGAGAAAAGAAAACAGACAGTGACAAATGATGAGATAACAAAGTGTAGAGCTGGATGAACGCAGCAGGCCAAGCAGCATCATAGGAGCAGAAAGGCTGATGTTTCAGGCCCAGACCCTTCCCGAAACGTCAGCCTTCCTGCTCCTATGATGCTGCTTGGCCTGCTGTGTTCATCCAGCTCTACACCTTGTTATCTCAGATTTTCCAGCATCTGCAGTTCCTACTATCAGTGACAAATGATGTTTCAGGTCAGGCTGAGGAAGGGTCCCGACCCGAAACATCAACTTTCCTGTTCCTCTGATGCTGCCTGACCTGCTGTGTTCCTGCAGCTCCATACTGTGATGTCTCTGACTCCATCATCCGCAGTTCTTGCTGTCTCTGAGTGACAAATGACTCATCCTTTGAAAATTAAATTTTTACTGATCTCATTAAGTTTAACTTTTTATTCTGCAAAGGAGAATTTACTTGGACAGAAAAGACTGTAAAGAGAGAAGGGAATGCCATAGATTTTTACAAAAGATTGAATGCAGCAAAAAGTACAACCAGTGAAGTAAGTTTTGACGTGTGGCCATGATTGTAAAATAGGATATGCAGCAGTCAGTTCACACATAGCAAGATTCTGCACACAGCAGCAAGATAATGGCTAAATCGATTATTTTAGGGAGTTTTGTTATTGGACTAATATTAGGCAAGTCACTGGGAAGAACCTGCGTTGGTCTTCTTTGAGTAGCACCATAGCATCTTTAATGTCCACTTTACAGACTGTGCCTCAACTAAATATCTGTGAGCACTGCACTGGTGTGTCAATTTCAGTTTAACTCCCTGAACTGAGATGTTGCAAATGTGTTTGTTTCAAATATGCAGAATGACAGTTCATGGTATGATGAGAGGTTCTCTTTCAATGTGCCTTGCAAACCAACAAATTTTCTGTAAAACAAAGGGGAGAAATAAAGGACAGAATGAGTTCATGAAATTCTTTCTGTGAGTAAGGCATTTGTCCTCACGTGCGCTATTATACAGACATGAACAATAAGTGAAGGTCAAGAGGAGGTTTGAGAGGTGTTCAAAATCGTGAAGAACTGAGTCAGAAATAGAGAGAAACTGCTCCCATTAGCAGAAGGGTGAAAAACTAGGGGACTTAGGTTTAAGTTGACTTGCAAAACAGCTAAAGGCAAGCTGATGGAAATCTTTTATAGTCTGAAATGCAATTCAGGAAAGCTGTAGGAGACAGATTTGATCGCAGGTTAAAAAAAAGGATTGGCAAATTGAGGAACAAGAAAATTTCAGCTGAGAGAGCTGTGGAGGGGGACTAGCTAAATTGCAGAGAGATAGCACAGATTCAGTCGGCCACATATCTTCTTTCTGCACTGTAACCATTCTACAGGCTGGCTCTGGTAAGCAGCTTGGAGGAGGGAAGGGCATTTCACTAGGTAAGGTGACGGCCTACCTGAAACCCCTGTCTTCTTACCTCCACCAGAGTTCGTTCCAGATGGGAGAACTCATGGTCAACCCTCCCACCCTATCCCCATTTTAGACTCTCATGGGACCACATTTTTCCACCACTGGTTTATTGCCACTGATCTATGTGAAATCTAACACCTCAGTTGGGTGTGGGGTGCGGCTATCTCTTGATCAAAGGCATTGTGTGATTGATCGAGGAACTAGACATAAGAAGATAGGGTGACTGCTTACAACCAAACCCTTGGCCTTCCTGCCAAATTTCCCTGAATCCTATTCCAAATGACATCAGCACTGCAACACCCCTCACCCCTCACTCACAGTACGTACCTGTGGTCTGAGTCATTCCGTCACCCTGGGCAAAACATGTATGATTTTACCCGTGGCACTGCTGAGCACAAGCATGCCTGCCCCTGATTGGCCAGCAGCTCTCAGTATGCAAGACAATCTGTCCCCGGGTCATGAGAAGACCCACCGTTGGTCCAGCTATTGTTTGATTCGTTTGCGATTTAGTGGAACATTGGCCATAAAGATTCAGCATCAGTCTCTCACCGGCTCTCTCATTGGCAAGCAAAACCCCTGATACCCCAAGCTATGACTCCAAACATGTGCATTAGTAATTGACAATAATGTAAGAATGGATACTATATGTTGCATACCATTTGATTTCAGCACCAATCCAAATATGCAACATCAAAGCCTTTCATAGTCTCCATCCTACAATATAAGAGCAGGATTAAGTCATTTAAGCCCATTCTGCAATTCAATATAATGGGTCATCCAGCTCAGTACCCTATCTCCACTTTCTCCCCAAACTCTTTGATCCCTTTAGCGCTAACAATTATATCTATCTCCTTCTTGAAAATATTCAACCACTTTCTGTGGCAGACAATTCCACAGGCTCCCCACTCTCTGAGTGAATAAAATTCCCTGATAGAAGTTTATAAAATTGTGAAGGACACGGATAGAGTGGAAGGTATGAGGCTTTTTCCCAGGGTGGCAGATCAATTACGAGGGGAAACAAGTTCAAGGTGCAGGGGAAGGGGAGAGTTTAAAAGAGATGTGCAAGACAAGTTTTTTGTACAAAAGGTGGTTAGTGCCTGGAACACGTTGCCGGAGGAGGTGTTGGAAGAAGACCCAATAGCAGCATTCAGGAAGCACCTGGACAAATACATGAACAGGAAGGGAATAGAGGGATATGGATCCTGTAAGTGAAAACTGTTTTAGTATGGAAGGGTAATATGCATCGACGCAGGCTTGAAGGGCTGAAGGGCTCGTTCCTGGGTTGTATTATTCTTTGTGTTTTGTGGTTCTTTGTTTTCCTCATCTCAGTCCTAAATGGCCTACACTGTACGCTTAGACTGTTGCCCTTGGTTCTGGACTCCCCAGTCATTGGGAGCATCCTGAAAAAATGCACCAATCCCTCATTATGTAGCTTCCATTGTGGAGCCAGCTCATTGTTATATTCTGTGTGAGTTTTGCCTTTAAGGATAAGAGCTATGTCACTTGAGATAAGGTGATTTAATGCTTTGAAATTCCTCTGTAGGATACTTTATTTTTCATTTATATACATAACATGACCTGAATAATTCTGTGACTGTTTACGGTGCCACCTTACTTACGATACAACTGCAAACATTTCTCTGTGCAAGTACATTTGTGTCCTGAGAAATTATTTTGCAGCTCTATAAGGGAATTGAGCTAGTTCTGGGAACCTATCATGTAACCCTAGCTATATTTAAACTAACTACTCCCCATTCCCAAAGATCCCTATTTCCTCAAGGACAAAGGAGCATATTAGTTAAAGAAGTAAGGCAAGGAGACTTCCACCCCTTCTGATCATTTTCTAAGATCGTAGTTTTCCAATTTCCATCTTGTTTCTGATGCCCTTCGATAATACTATGTATTGAAATTGTTCCCTTCGGAAAGTTGGCTAAATTTGAAAAAAATTGACTTTCTAAACACAGAAATTTTGCAAAGCTATTGCACCGTTCACAGTCAAATTATCAATTGATGGTCATTACTTCTGGCTAATTAACTGCTTGATTATTATTCTACGTGCTCAGTAATTGGCTCTTTTCCTTTGTTCCCACTAACTAAATTTCACTTAAATCAGAAACTTCAAGACAGTGTGTTTTGTCTTGTGTCAAGAATTTGTAAGTCACGAAAATAGCCATTTCACCCTTTATTGCCAAAAGACAACAACTGATTGATGCTTCTGTGATATAATTGCAAATGCTTCATAGGACAATAAACAAAAAAGTAAATGCAATTCAATGGGTCAATAGCTATTATACAAATAGACAGAGGGCATTATTGGGCATGTCAGGTCACATACAATTTGGACCCTATGGATGAAGGTTCTTATGGACTCCTGCTGAACCATGTCTCTGTAAATAGTGTACTTAGTTAATAAATGTTTATTGGTCTACACTAGTGTGTTTTCCAGTCTTCATCTGTCATAGAATCCCTACAGCGTAGAAGCAGGCCATTCAGCACATCAAGTTGCACCAGCTCTTTGAAGAGTATCCCACCCAGACTCAGCCTATATTCCTGCATTTCCCATGGCTAATCCACCTAGCCTGCATATTTCTGGACCCTGTGGGCAATTTAGAATGGCCAATCCACATAAGCTGCACATCTTTAGACTGTGGGAGGAAATCCACACAGAACGTGCAAACTCCACACAGACAGTTGCCCAAGGGTAGAATTGAACCCAGGTCTATGGTACTCTGAGGTAGCAGCGCTAACTTCTGAGCTACCGTTCCAGCCTAAGCACCCTAACCTATCAGAAGCATCAAGAACAAGGTGCAGGGCTGGATGAACACAGCAGGCCAAGC